TATTCCAGAAAAAAAAAAAAAAAAAAAAAGAGAAAAAGGGGAAGGGGTCACTTCATCAGGCAGCGCTACCAAAAGCAATTGATTACCTGCTGCCACTACTGGCCTACCGACCCCAGTTCGAACTCCGCTGGAAGCTGATGAGTCAGTTCAATGGTCATATCTCAAGGCCATTGACCTTTCTTTTTTGACTTAGAAAAAGAAACAATTGATTGCTATAATGACCGGGTATTGTATTTGGGTGAAGACGATAGCCTACTGAAGCGGGGGGAGGAAGGAAAAAAAAAAAGTACGTGACGTCAACATCTTTTTCCCAAAGTGCTTGGCACACTAGGCTCTGAGCAAAGGGGCATGCTTGCTCTGCAGGGGGTGAAGGAAAGTGTCACTTCGGGCCTCGCTCCAGCACTCATCAAACGCTCAAAATGAGAATGAATCTTCCACTATAGCATGGAAAGGTATACAGCAATAGTTTTTGTCTTTTGTGCACGTGGTGACTTGTGGGGCGATGCCCTTGATCAGGCAGGGCTACCAAAAAGAATTGATTGGAAAACCAGTCCCGGGGCAGATGAGGTTTGTTGGGCCTTTTTGCACAATGTGATCGGGGGGTCATTTGCATCTATACCCCTCATCCTCAAGCCTAAGTTGAGGCTGGTCCCAAGGTTGAATCTGCCTGCTGTGCTTACCCCTGATCCTCAAGCCCACCTTGAGGCCGGCCCTAAGGGTTATCCCTGATCGTCAGGCCCCCAAGTTGAGCCCCCCCTAGTGTTTATTTCTTTTTCTTTTTCTTTATCTTTCAAAAGGGCGATGGCCTTGAGATATCATATCATCCTTGAACTGACCGACCCCAGGTAATTCAGAATTCGTTTTGATTCGATTCATCTCGTTGCATCTGGATTTGAACTCGGGTATATATGTCAACATTTCATAGGTGCACCAACTGAGCCAGGCCCATTGGTTCCCTAGTGTTTAGCACTGATCCTCAAGGCCAAGTTGAGGTTGGCCCGCAGTTTTACCCCTGATCCCCAGGCCCAAGTTGAGGCCGGCCCTAAGGTTTTTCTTTCTTCTGAAAAAAAGGGGCGGCGGTCTTGAGATATCATTGTCGAACTGATCGCCCCCATGTAATTCAGAAAATTTTGATTAATTAGTTCCATCCGGACTCGAACTCAGGTCTGTGTTTCAACAGTTCATGGTTGTACCAATTGAGCTAGGCCCTCAGGTTTACCTCTGATCGTCAAGCCCACGTTGAGGCTGCCCCTAAGGGTTACCCCTGAGTCTCAGGCGACCGCAAGATTTAGCCTTTGATCCTCAAGGCCAAGTCGAGGTCAGCCCTGAGTTTTACCCCCTATACCCTCGAGACACTCAAGCCCAAGTTTGGGCTGGCCCTGAGGTTTACCTCTATATCCTCAAACCCACGTTGAGGCCGGCGTCAAGGTTGAGTCTTCCTGGAGTGCTTACATCTGATCCTCAAGCCCAAGTCAAGGCCACCCCAAAGGTTGACTCTCCATGCTGTGCGTACAAAGAACCTACGGTAGACGAGGATGATATCGATGTCGATGCTGTTCTCACTGGTCATCCCAATGGGAGGGAAGAAAAAGGGACAACCAGAAGGGTTGGTTGAGTTGCTTCCAGCTTTATGTTGATTTTTGCATGAATGTGATGAATGTCAACCATGGTGGTGACCGCTAACCATGGTCACTGCTAACCCTGGTGGTCTCCCCCTCCCTCCTCCACCACCCCCCATGTGGTGAGGTACATCCTGAGGACGAAGGTACTTGTAAGATCCTTGGCAGACTTGGATTGGTGAATCTAGCTTTGGTACATTGATTTCTAATCAATTCACAGGCAAGGGTGTTATAAGCAATTTGATGTGGTCACTGCTAACTCGTCTTCCCCCCCCCACCAACCCCACCAAAGTGAAAGGTGTGCTGGTCACCTTTGACAAAGGAATGAAGGACAACGGTGCTTGTAACATCCTTGCTGGAGTTAGGCTGGTGGCAATTTGATGTTTCTTCAATTCACAGGCTGTGAGAGCGGGGCGAGTACTGGTGTTACATGCTGCGCCTGCAACAGGCTGCACGGGCCATTTTCAGGCCCGTGTTGTTTTCAGCCTGGAAGCCTGAAAACAAGGGCCTACAGGCCCGGTGTTGTTTTCAGCCTGAAAGCCTGAAAACAAGGGCCTACAGGCCCCGTGTTGTTTTCAGCCTAAAAGCCTGAAAGCAAGGGCCTACAGGCCCTGTGTCGTTTCAGCCTAAAACAGGGCCCTCCAGGCCCTGAGTCTTTTCAGCCTGAAACGGAGGGCCATTTTCAGGCCCTCATAAGTTCGACCTGCCCTGAAATGTAGGCACCAGACCAGGGTTTTAGCTCAGGCCATTTTTGGCCTATTTTCAAGACAACCTTTGTTTGAGCTTCAACCCCAGGGTCTGGCACGTTTTGGCATTGGCAAGAGCAGCCTCCTGGACGGGCCAGTACTATATAAGACTGGCCCGCCCTGCAGGCTGCAGGTAGTTCCTAGGTACTTCCCAGGCACTTCACATGCAGTTCAGGAGGCAGGAGGTATCTAAGTCTTCCCCTGCGCTATAAAGCACCATGTTTGTATGTATCAGGATGTACACTGCTTGTTGAGATTTCACTTGCACTGCATTGTCCATTCAGTCCTTTTCATCACATTGCGGATCCTCGGTTGTATATGTACATCGCCCAGCTGGGCATGTAACAGTTGATATCGGAGCATCGCACGTGAATCAGGACAACCTGATTTGACACGTGTGCGGGGACTAAGTAGCAGCCTTGATTGATTGATTGATTAGAGCACACTAGTTAGCCCCCAAAATCACGATTTTGACCTCACTGTCGAAAATCGAATTTGTTTTTGTTTTCTTGGATTTTGTTTTCTCGCTATTTCTGTTGTGGAAAATCGCAATAGCGCAATACCTGAAATTTTCGTTTTCATTTTTCTTCTGAAAATTCGAAATTTCGTTGTTGGAAAATCCGGAATATCTTTTTTTCAAAAATTTCGATCTTCTTTTGCAATTTTCCCATTATTTGGAGATCCGAAATTTTTTTTTTTGAAATTCGTTTAAAAAAAAAGAAAAACGGTACGGGAAATCCCTCTTGCAGTTACCATTTTCCAAACTGCGCGTACTCTCATCTGAGTAATTTCGAATATTTGTATTTTATTTTATTTTTGGAATTCTCTTATCGGATCATCATTTGCAGTCTGAAAGTTTGAAATTTTCCTCATTCGTAATGTCGCACTTCAGGGGGAATTGGGAGGCCTATTGAACTTGCAAACAAATATTTTTTTTCTTTTTTTCTCGAAATTTTTGCAAAGTTCAAACTTTCCTTTTTTGATTAGTGGCTCCTTATCTGGGCGATTTATCCCACCCACCCCTCCCACCTATGTTGTTGCCCCCTTTGGTCTTATCTTCTCTATCTGTGTCCGGGTACCCCCTGCGGCGGCATTGGTGAGTTGCCACGTCAGCAGACCAGGTCAGCAGGCCATGTCAGCAGACCACGTCAGCAGGCCACGTCAGCAGACCACGTCAGCAGGCCACGTCTGCAGCAGGCAGTGCCACGTCAGCAGGCCCCCAGCCTGGTCTATGCTCACTCGCTCGCAAACAGCCGTCATGGACCAGATGTCCTGGGAAACGGACGAGGCCTATCAGGCCCGGATGCTGCTTCTGATTACCGAAGCCAAGCAGAGTCGGATGCAATAGCAGCCGCAACAAAGAAGAAGGCAGAGGATGCCAAGAAGGCACGTCTGTTGGCAATCGAACAGCAGCGCCAGCAAGACGAGGCAACAACAAAGGCTGCCGATGAAGAACGAATTCAACGACGCGAGAAGATATTCAACGGAGAGCGAGCTTTGCTCACAATGGCAGCGGACTGGCGGGCCGAGGCCGAGAATGGTAAGATGGAAGAGAGTGAAAACAAGATCGCTCCACTCCTCTCCCATCTCGCGGATCTCCTGGCAACATGCATTACACAGTAGGAGGATATCCACAGCCTCGACGACGCGTTAGCTCAAGTCAGCAGCCACCTCCAGCAGTTGGAGCAACGACCCGTCGCCGCCCCCGTTGCCAGCTCCTCCAACACCTCCGATCGCCTCGAGGCATTGGAGATTGACGTCGGATCCCTCAAGGACGGCGTGCAGTTACAGCAAACCGCAACGCAACAGTTGGAACAACTGATCTGTACTGCAGCCAACCACTCAAGCTCGGAACCGCGTGAGACAACTCCAAAGTTCGATGGGCAGAAGATCTTCTGCGACTCGACGAAGACGGACCCGATTCCATGGTTCCGCAAGTTCGAGCTCGAGTTGCAGCTCCACCACGTCAGCGAAAACAAGCATCATGCGTACTTATACTTCCGGTCGGGGGGCGCGTGCCAAGCATGGTTGGACAATCTCTTGTCCAAGTACGGGGTGGTAGTTGCCGACTTGTACACCAAGGTCAACTGGGATGATCTAAAGGCGGCGTGGCATAAGCGGTTCCAAGTAGAGCCGCCAGAGATCAAGGCAATGGACAAGTTGATGACCTTCGAACAAGGCATGCTGCCGAGTGTTGACTAAATTGCCAAGTAGCAACCCCGCCCCAGACATTCAAATGGGCTTCAAGGCCATCAAACACTACTTCATCTCGAGGTCGTGTCCAACATTGGGCAACGCCTTCACTCACGTCGAGGACACCCTGACGACAACGTCGGAGCTCTTCGACAAGGCCGTGCAGATTATTGTCACGAACAAGGAGGCTAAGAATCTCCACCGTTCGTCTGCGACAGGCCTGAGCAGAGACCAGCATCGATCGAAAGTGGTCGTGGTCGCGGCGGCAACACCAACCGACCAATCTAGCGAGGCCGTGTCTGCCAATGAAGGGGACAGACTCGCAGCCGCCCGGGATGGTGGCCGGCCCGACAAAGGCCGAGGATGAGGCAAGACGAAAAACACCGCATCTATCCCCGGGCCCGGTGCAGCAGCTCCAGCACCATGGTCCCACTACGGTCTCTCCGAACAGGCGTACAAGGCACGCACGATATTTCGCTATTGTCTGTGGTGTAACGGCGATCTCCATGACACAGTGGGCTGCCCGTCGAAAGGCAAAGGCAAATCGGGAAACCGAGGACCGCCGAGAGTGACTCAACGACACTCTCGACGCCTTCGGAACCGGTCACTTCGCGGGTGACCGCCCTTCGTTTCGAAGCACATGCGGAAGTCAATAGTCCTCTTCTATACTCTTATGAGGGTTATGCTGCCCGGCTCGTTCCTACGCTGGGTACTCATGCTCAAGGACAAGACGTGTGTGCGACATCTTCCCCGCCCGGCAGCGACAACTTATCGTCTTCAAGTGGTTCTTCACATGATTCGGCATGCGAGTTCAACATAGAGGTATTGGACATGCTCACATCCGAGGATTTCGCATGGCTTCCTCTCCCGACCACGGGCGGTTTGCCAAGATCGCAATGCGCAACATTATGCGCTCATCTTCACACGTATCTATCCTTCTATGCACCACCAACTTCGCCGATGGAGGACGAAGCTGCGGTGGGGGACATCCTTGCGTATGTTACCAAGATGGCCTGCGAGTTTCGCAAGCAGCGGTACGATGACAACAATGCACCGCTCCTCTATGTTCCCATCCAAGTGGGGCAAGCGTCCTGCAGCGCTTTGCTGGATAGTGGCCCGTCTCTCAATTTCATGAGCCAAGCCTTTATGCAAAGGGCTTGCCTTGGCGCACAAGTTCGAAGGAAGGCAAACCCGACGGCGATCAAGTTAGCGCACGGAAGGACGTAGAAACGTATCGACCGCTACATCGAGGCCGTACCGGTGTATTTCTCACCTCCTGCACGCGAACCGGTGACGTTCGACATTTTGGACATGGACTTCGACATTATTTTGGGAATGCCATGTCTTGCAAGTGCGGATCACACGGTCAACTTCCACCAGCGGACTCTTACCATTCGGGACGTCTTCGGCGCCAAAGTGATGTGTACTATTCCTCTTTCGCACCCTTCGATTCAGTGCCAAGTGGTGACGGCCAAGTTTTTCCAGGCTACTTGCGCTTACGAGAAGCCCGACGAGATAGGCCTATGTTTCCTACGGACCATCGCGGTAACCGACTCTTCACCCACGAACTTATCTTCGGACCCCCGTGTGATGCGGTTGCTTGACAAGTTCATCGACATCTTCGAGTCACCTACCGGTGTGGTGCCGGATCGGCCGATCTCTCACGAGATCATTCTTGAGGCCGGCACGAATGAGGCCGGTGCCGTGCCGCCGAATGGTTCCATTTCACGCATGAGCGAGGAGGAGCTTATGGTCCTCTGCCCTCAACTCGATGACTTGATGGACAAGGGCTGGATCCGCCCTAGTAGCTCCCATATGGAGCGCTAGTTCTCTTCGTACAAAAGAAGAACAAGGATCTACGATTGTGCATTGACTTCGCGAGCGCTTTTGGTGGCCTGGCCTTCTCAACGACGTCACATGCTCTTGCGAGTTATCCGAGGTTTGCTGACGCCGCAAATCCCGCAACCATCGTCCGTACGGCGAGTTGTGACCATTACCGGTCCCCTTGCGCCAGAGGGAAGCGATTACCATGAACATTACCGGGCCGTTCCCCAAGCACAAAATCGGTGTGGATGGACGGTGGTCGACTGACTCACCAAGTTCGCCATGTTTTTGCCTTGCCGCTATCATGCCAAGGCACCAGAATTGGCCGAGGTACTTTACGTCGGTTGGATTCGAACCAAGGGTTACCCCTAGGAAATCGTGTGCGACCGCGACACCCGGTTCATGTTCGATTTTTGGTTGGCGCTCATCAAATGATGGGGCTCATCTCTCAAGCCAAGTTCGACTCGCCTACTTGGTACACCTTGTGTACTGCACCCACAAACGAACGCAAGATGCAAGGCAAGCCGGTATCTTCGGCTCCACGTCGCACCCGCGTCCAGGTGCGACCTTCAGATCGTTAGCTTCGCCCTCGACCCGGCTTGACTTCATAAGGAGGGGGGGGTGTTACATGCTGCGCCTGCAACAGTCTGCACGAGCCATTTTCAGGCCCGTGTTGTTTTCAGCCTGAAAGCCTGAAAACAAGGGCCTACAGGCCCCGTATTGTTTTCAACCTGAAAGCCTGAAAACAAGGCCCTACAGACCCCGTGTTGTTTTCAGCCTAAAAGCCTGAAAACCAGGGTCTACAGGCCCTATGTCGTTTCAGCCTAAAACAGGGCCCTCCAAGCCCTGAGTCTTTTCAGCTTGAAACGGAGGGCCATTTTCAGGCCCTCATAAGAACGACCTGCCCTGAAACGTAGGCACCAGACCACGGTTTTAGCTCATGCCATTTTTGGCCTATTTTCAAGACAACCTTTGTTTGAGCTTCAACCCCAGGGTCTGGCACGCTTTGGCATTGGCAAGAGCAGCCTCCTGGACGGGCCAGCACTCCCTGCAGGCTGCAGGTAGTTCCTAGGTACTTCCAAGGCACTTCACGTGCAGTTCAGGAGGCAGGAGGTAGTCTTCAGGATTCGGCAGCAGCACTCGGGAGGAGCGCTGCAGGAGTAGTAGTAGCGCTAGAAGTAGTCTTCAGCGTTGGGCTAGTAGCGTTAGCAGTAGTCTTCAGCGCTGGGCGCTAGTAGGAGTAGAGTAGTACTGGAGAGAGAGATTGGGCGGAGGCCAGGGAGACTTACCTGCAGCGCCATAGCTCCAGCTTCGTCTTTGAGGTACCTGCAGCACAACGCCATCTTCACAGGTTAGTACCTGGCACATGGGAGAGAGAGAGTTCTTCTTCTTCCTCTTCTCAGTCCACCATCTCCCTCTCACCCTCTCGGTACCTGACTTCACTGTATCTGCAGACTAGGAGAGAGCGGGGTTGGTGACATTTGGATCCAGACTTGACATCGGGCTTTAGACATTTTAACGAGGGATTATTTGGGACTTGTAACGAAGACTTGGTGTTGATGACATTCCCATCTCTCCCCCTCTTCTTGGTCTGTTCCCCTCCTCTTCGTTTGTGCATGATCTGGACCTGCCGCATTCTTCCTGTGTGTAGCGCAAGGCCCCTTCACACCTTGTGATGAGGATGATGTATGTTTTGTCTGCGTTGCAACATTGATTGGGTTAGTCATTGATATTCTAGCATTCTGCTGCGTTGTCTTGCACTACGTGATAGAGGGCAGTCGCGGTCAGGTCAGGACTTGTATCTAAGTCTACCCCTGCGCTATAAAGAACCAGGTTTGTATGTATCAAGATGTACACTGCTTGTTGAGATTTCACTTGCACTGCATTGTCCATTCAGTCCTTTTCATCACATTGCGGATCCTCGATTATATATGTACATCGCCCAACTTCGCGTGTAACAGTGGTGAGGTTCTTGCCATATTTTGATGATTGGTGAAGATGTGATATATCTTAACCAATTGACAGGCTGTGAAAGGTGTGCCAGCCACCATTGACAAAGGTCGGAAAGGTCATGCACCTACTTTTTGACTTCTATGTGGTTTCGTGAGGAGGGTCCCTTTCACCTGGTCGTTGGAATCCCTGGTTGCGTAAGAATGCGCCTGATACCAAGTCGGAACGTTCGCCTTATAACGCTCCCTCTTTAAGGATCTGGAGGGCAATCTTCAATCAGTTCTCGGATGCGGAAATCACAGCCCTCTGGAACTTTCCATCGCATTGTAATGCTGCAGACTTTTGTGGGTCCTGGTCTGATACAGATTGAAGTTCGAATCCTGATGCAATCCACTACTCATAATCCACTACTCATAAGAAGGTGTTGTGGTGCATGCGGGGGAAACGACCGCTACCACTATTCTGTATGTGAAGAGGCAAAGGAGGCAACTCGAAAACAATTAAACGAACATGGTGGACCTTCTTCCTTTTGGGTCGATGATCTGGATCTGGTTTGGGCCAAAAAAATAAGGTCCAATTTTTTGGGGATGAGGAAGGCGTTTCCACTAAAGTTGTTGACACTTGACTGTGGACCTTGGGATATCTTCGAGATTGTTCGAGAGGATGTAGTTTCCTACATCTGATGATGAGTTGACTGGTTGCGCATGCATCCTGTTTTTCATGGATCCGAGGTCTATCCATGGAAGACATCTGATCAGTTTTCTAGTTGACCCTCCCGTGATCCTAGTTGATCCCCCATTATCTCTTATGCAAGCGAGATGACAATATTTAGATTGCAGAATTACATTGAAAGCCAATTCGTATCACAGTGTTCAGAAAGGAGGATTGCACCAATATGACACCAATGGAGAATCGTAGCATTGAAAACCAATGCCAATGAGAGCTTGCTCTCGCCACCACCAACATATGTATCCAGTCCCTATCTCCCTACTTGGCGCTCGACGACCAGCCTACGCCCTACACAACTACTATTAGCCTACTAATTGACAATGGAACTGTTGACGTCAGCAGCCTCCGAAGTACTTGAAGATGTCGCCCATGCAGACCATCACCAAAACCAGGTATGTGCCCTCACATCATCATCATCATCATCCTTCTCTCTCTCCCTCGTCTTCCCACGTCTTCCTGTTGTACACCCGAAGACCACCCCTGCGCCTCACTGTACA